ATTGAGTCAACTTACTATTTTGAACAAGGAATTTAGCAGATGGTCCATGAGGTGAATTTGAAAGCCTAAAATATGAAAAAAGCTTTTTCAAGTAATTAGAATTTAGAATCTAGTAAATGCTTACCACCTACATAAAAAGGCATCATAATATGCTTATAATATTCATGTTTAATTTTCTTTAAAGGTATCAAGTTTTGTGAAATCAAATGAGTTTCATTCTTTGCCCTTTTACATAAAGACTAAAAAGGGTCTATAATCTAAGAGGTACAAAGAATAAACCACTTAAATAAATGAGTTCAACCCAAATCTTAATACATTCTCTTACCACATATAGAGATCCTGTTTTTTCTTAGCTTCAAAATAGATACATTTATTACAGTTTTTCATTTCACAGACCTAAATGAAGCAAAGTATAAGAAAATGAAGTAGATAACATAAATGAGAACTAAATTAAACGCAATTAATATCTAGAGTCACCCAAAAATACTTAAGCAGATTAATAGGCTACAATGGTCTAAATAAATCAGGGTAAATTTATTTATTCATTGAAAGAAACATTTAAAGTTCCTCTTAGGTATTCAACCCAAGGTAAACTAGATGCTCTGTGTGCCTCTTTGGTGGCAGTATCTACCCTATTCTTTTTGGCCTAGCATTTTTGAAGTAATTGATCTCATTTCTGACTACTGAGAACCTCTTCTTTTGTCCCCAGTTCCATGTCCACACTACAAAGACTGAAAACAGATGCCCTAGGTATAAGGCATACCACAATTAAGCTTATGTAAATTCTTCGTAACCCATCTTATGAAAATACAGTCCTTACGGAACTAAAAACATCCTTTATAATGGGTACTTTAATTTTTAACTTTTTAGCTTTTTGGTTTTAAGATTACAAAATTTAAGATTTTCTTCCTTATTTATACTATCATTTCTGATAATTTGGTTCTGTAAAATCACTAAGGGACTGGTGAAAAGTACAAGTATATAAAACCTAATTCAAGTTGAATTAACCTTCAATGTCTTGAAGGTTTACAAAGTCACATGAGAATATACAAAAACATTAAGACTCAAGTCTGGTATTACTTTACTATTCTTAAACTCTAACTAACATAGTATTCATACACTGTAAACTATTTGAGACTTTAAACCTAACAACTTTAAAAAAAAAATCTTAGGTCCAAGCTTTTGTTTCTTACTGGTCTTAGAATAAACACAAAAATGGAAAGTTCACACCACTTCTGGGCCTTGCCATTTTCTCTAGCTAGATTACTCTTCCACCCCATTTATCTTTCACTTAAGTCTCTGCTCAAATATTAAGTTGAATATCATCTCTTTGGAAAAGGCCCATCTAGTCTAGCTTCAGTTGTTGAAAACCCTGCTTTATTACTCCTATGTTCACTTGAAATTATAAATCTTGCTTATGGCCTGTCTTCCTCATTAGGATGTAAGCTCCGTAATGACGGGAACGTTGTTCCGTTAAACACTCTTTCCGCAGCATGCAGATTTATGCCACGTTACAGCAGAGGTTCAAAAATTTGTGCAAAATGCCAGGCACGGTGGATCAGACCTATAATCCTAGCACTCTGGGAAGCCAGGTGTTTGAGACCAGCCTGAGCAAGACGGAGACTCCGTCCCTACAAAAAAAAAATTGAAAAATTAGCCAGGTGTGGTGCCATGAGCCTGTAGTCCCAGATACTCAGGAGGCTGAGGCAGAAGGATCACTTGAGACCGGGAGTTTGAGTTTGCAATGAGCTATGATGATGCTTCAGCACTATAGCCTGGGTGATACAGAAAGACCCAGTCTCCAAAAAAACAAAACAAAATTTGTGCTAAATGAATGAATAAACGAAGCCTTCCTAATAGTGAAAAGAAGATTATCTTAAAAACAATTCTTCTAAGTTTTGAAAAATTTGCTTTAAATGTAGTTTAATATCTTCAATTACTTTGAAAATGTAACCTATTACCAGTTTGTAATACCTTAAGAGCAAATACCACATGCATCACTTTTAATATTGAAAAAATGCTTTTTACAATGTGGGTTTTCCATATGTATTTAATGGGCTTTATATTTTATTTTATATGTTGATTATTTTTTATCAGTACCTAAATGAATTTAGCACAATACCAGACATTATGGGCGAACAAAATGAGATATAATCCTTGTCTCCTCAGGAAATTTCAATATGCTTGTTGAGACAAGACATGGAAATGATTGGGAAATAATATACACCAAAGCACTAAATGGTGAATACAGACAGTGAGTGTTCTAAAATTACCTCATTAATCACAAATAACTTATCTTTACGATCCATTTTAGTATCTATAAAAAAAAAAAAAGTAAATGAAAGGCAATTTCAAAGTTACTTCAATCAAATCACATATGCTATCTAGAAATTAGTTTTAAGGTTTTTATACTCTTCATTTAAAGGAGATTTCATTATTAATTTTCAAAATGATTAGACCCCAGTTTGAGAGGCACTGGTATAAAGAACTAAGTTATTATCTAGAATTAAAACCTAAAGCATTTCCCAACACAGGCACAACAACAGCTGTATAATGGCACACTGCGACCATTCTATTCTTAAGACCAGACATTCTTCACTTGCCTGAAGGTAAACCACTGCCTAAAAAACAAAACTAAACAAAAAGCTTGGTATTCAGAAATAGGCTGAGCCCAATTTAAAGGTGCTTCAAATCTTATCCCAAATCCACTAATTTTTTAATAAAAAGTTAAAAAAAAAAAAAAAGCTCAGAAAGCAATACATGGCAGTCAGGAATCATTCAGAAGGACAAACCATCTCATCCCACCTATCATAACCTGAGAGCACTATAATGAAGACATTCCTGGACCTTCAAGAAATGTTTCAATATGTTCAATATCTCAAGCTGGGTGTTGATCAAAACGGTGTATACACATTTAAATTGCAGAAAACATTTCTGTATATAAATTATACCTCAATAAAGTCTATTAAAAAAGAAAAAAAAGTTTCAATAATATTAGAATATCTGTTTTAAAAAGTAAAGAAAATATCTAATGAATTCTGTAAAGAAGTTCCAACAAAATGCTAACTGGAAAAACTGGCATTTGGAAGGATGAATTTCTGAGGTATCATAGTTCTTTAGCTGACAAGATTGAACAAATAAAGAGTAAATAAATAATTTTAAATATATAAACAAGCAAGTTTATAAATGCAAATTCTAAAAATATGATATTAAAGGTACCTGCTTTAGAATGAGGCATCAACATTCTCAAGTCCTGCATTAAATGTCTTGTTCTGAAATTTATTCCTCTGGAAGAAAAGATGAGAATCCGTTCCTTATTTTTCCACTTGCCCTAAAGAAAATGTTAAAAGATTTTAAAATCTCATACTGGACCTATCTTGTTTGTTTTTTAAGGTTCAATCCTGACCCCTTTAATTCCATCTCTCAGCAACATTCGCTGACCATACCTGCCCCCAAGAAATGCCCTCCCTGGTTTCTTCCTTTTTTGTTTTTCATCTTCAATCTCCCCAATTCCTCCTCTCAATCCTGAACATTCTTTCTTAGCCCTCTTTTTAAACTTCTGTTCTCTCATGACAGAGATTTCATAATCATTCCCACAGCTTCAACTGTCAAGTCTACAGAAAGGTAACGAACTCTCTCCAGCCCTAATAATCCAAGCATTTGACAAACACTTCAAATCAACTCTGTAATACTAAACATTATTTTATACCTTAAATCTGGCAAATTTCCTTGCTATTTCTTTTTTTTTTGATGCTGGCACTATCACTTTAGTCCCCCAGACTTTTGACTCTTCCATTTGCCCTTATTCTCCCATATCATAAAACTAAATGCTATCAACTTCTCTTTGCAACAATTTTTAATCCTTTTTAATTCACACTGTGCTTATTTGTAGCCTTATATCAACTGCAAATCTCCTAAGTGGCCAGCCTTTCCAGACATGAGCTCCTCCAATACCTATGGCAGACTATCAACAGCTTAATCTTTTTGAAGCACTGCTTCAATCACAAGCTTATTTCCCAGTTTTCTAAACAAAGTCCAGAATGACAGAGCTTTAACATTAGATTCTAAAATACATTTTCATTTTTACATTGCCCCAAATCAACCCTACACTAATCCAATCTGGCTCTATTTTTTAGATTTTCAGCATTTCCCCACTTCAGTGCTTTTCATAGGTTTTTTCTCTCCCTTAGATTGTTCCCTCTCACTTTTGAACAACAAAATTCGATCCTTCCTTTGAGATCCAGCTTGAAGGCTAAGTCCTTAATAATTCCTTACCTTACTATCCTAGAGTAAAAGTAATCTTTATCTCCTGCATTTCCACAGAATGTATCAAAGTATGACTCAGTTTATATATATATATATATATATATATATACTATCATATTTCTTTCTAGCTTTTCAGAGTAAAAACACTGCTCTTTACTGGAAATCCACTAGTCCAGATTATTGTTCACAAAAAGCAAATATTTTCTTCCTCTTAATTTGCAGATGAGAAAAGAGCGTGGAATACATTTATCTTCCACTCGTCAGAGCTCACTCCTTTCCTAGAGCTTGCCATCACACCACTCGGGGCAATTTACTTATCACCTGCTACCTGCAAGAAGTATTACGCTAAGCGCAAGGGACACAGAAACTAATAAAGCACAAGGCCATCCTTGAACAGAATCCACCCTATTCTGTCTAGCATAAGAACTTAACTCCAACAACTTGTGTTCTTTCGAATAAAAACCATCAACTTATATGAATTCTTAATTTCAGTCTGGAGTTGAGTACCCCCTAAAGTCACTTCCCTGTGAGTTCGTCGCCTCCAAGAGGGCGCCCACGTGCACGAGGCTTAGACGTCAACACTGTGCCTAGTCCAGCAGGGAGAACTGCTAAGAACGATCTCTGGTCACACCCGGGCTACTCTGAAATTAGCAGAGCTGTAGTCAAGTAGGTAGCCCCAGGAAACGAGCCTGGAGCTGCCTCCGCAAGAGTACACCAAAAGTAGCCCCTTCTACCTTGCAAACGGGGCCTGGGATACGGTCTCTCTCTTCTTCCTCCACTTCTTCTGCGATAACGTGCCGCTTAGCTAGCGGCCCGGCATCATCTTCGTTTCTTTTTGGCTTCTTGGCCTGAACCGCAAGGTCTCCACGCCGCCTCCTCTTGGTTGCCGCCATCTTGCCTCACCACCTTCGCGCGTGGTCTTTTTTCCGGCTGTGCCGCTCGTTCCTCCTTCCGATCTCTATGGCGCGGCTCTATGCACTCGCTCTCTGGTCCTCCTCCAGCTCTATGGTGCCTCCTTCCGGTCTCATGGTGCTGCTTGTGCGGTTCTCCCAGCTTCCTCCAGCTCTGTGGTGACGGTGGCAGAGGAGGAGGGCTGATCTGAAAAGAGTGGCGGGAGCCGCTCACTTCCCCCGCGGTTTCCCTGTAACTGCAGGTCACCTCCCCAGGGACTGGGCTGGGAAAGACTCTCCGGCGTCCGGACCCCACCGCAAAGGTAGGGTTTCCTCACCGGGGTCCCGGCACTAGTAAGCGTATGATGCCCTGCGGACGGGCCGGTGACTCTTAGAGGACCTTCCGAGGCGTCAGGGCCCGCCCCGCATCGCCTGCTGTGTTAGAGGCTAGGTTGGTGGCGCGGGGCGGCTCCGCACAGACTGTGCGGAGTGGTAGCTCCTGTTTGACACGAGTAGTTTGACATGAGCGGAACTACCGTGTCAGTTGTGTATTTTCATTCACAGCTTTTCACATATTGCTGTCTCCATACTGAAAACGAGGAAACCATAGCTGAGAGATAAGTAATTTTCCCCAAAGTGACAGAGACAGTTAAGTGATAGAGGTGGGGTTGGCCTGGTCAGCCGAGTTTAACGCCCAGGCCCATTAACACCGCCGCAGCGCAGGTTGAGGTCGCCGGAGCTCGTCGGCATTGACGGGGGTTTTATTGTCCAATCTTGTCAGGTGTTTCGTGATCCGTGGGAGCAGGTGTTGGGCCCGGGAGCACCCCTCAGGACCGAATGTGCAGTGGACGATGCCCCTCCTAACCCAGCGTATCCAAGATGAGAATGATCAGTACAGCTTAGTGGCCAGCCTGGACAACGTTAGGAATCTCTCCACTATCTTGAAAGCTATTCATTTCCGAGAACACGCCACGTGTTTCGCTACTAAAAATGGAATCAAAGTTACCGTGGAAAATGCAAAGTGTGTGCAAGCAAATGCTTTTATTCAGGTATGGAAGTAGGCACCTTTAAGCCTGTGACATGTGATGTTCTTTGTTCGTTTAACGAATTCTGAAGATTTTAGAAGCAATTTAAGTTAGCAAAATATCATTATGTGAATTCTTTTCTCTCCTGGTAACAGATTCTTTTCCCATTTTGTTTTACAGAGATAATGGTTAATAATAATGTTGACTAAAGTTTATTAAGCTAAACTATAGGCTAGGCATTCCTCTGAGAGTTTAACTTATTTCATCTTCACAATAGTCCTTCTGTCGGTATTCCCATTTTTACACATGTAGAAACGGGGCATAATGTGATTTGCCAGCAGTCTAATAACAGGTAAATGGCTGAAGTGGGATGAAAACCCAGAAAGTTTGTTTCCAGAACATATGCTCTTCATCACTGTGTTATACCTACCTCCCTGTTATTAAAAAGTACTTTTGCTTTTAATTCGCATTTTTTTCAACACCTAAGTGCACCGTATGACCTCAGGAATGGAGGGATAAATAAGACATGGTTCTTGTCCTCAAAAGAAATTGAAAACTAATATCACGCATGCATTATAAAATTCCGTGTCTATTTTCCAAGTGGCCTTAGTGGTAATGATGGGCACAAAAAGGACATGGGAAAGTCACGTGGGGAATCGTTTCAGATCCAGGAATGGAGATGAGTATCCTTAACAAAGTTTTGCATGGGGCTTAACTCACTGTTACACCTTCAACTTTTCAGTAGTGTCGTTACAATGTATAAAACTAAGATGTTTTGGTTGGTAATTAGAAATTATTCTCACGGGGTTAAAACAATATTGTTATTTTAAAACATAAAGTGAAATCTAGAACCATATATATTAGTTTAATTCTTTAATATATCTAACTACATTTTCATGTTTACTTTTTTTGTAGGCTGGAATATTTCAAGAGTTTACAGTTCAGGAAGAGTCTGTTACTTTTCGAATTAATTTAACTGTCCTTTTAGACTGTTTATCTATTTTTGGATCAAACCCTATGCCAGGTAAACCATTTTATTGTCATTCTAAAGACATAAACGCATTGAACAGAATGGTCAGAAAAATACAGGACATTATTTGGAATATAAACATTTCTTTAGAAAATTGCCAATTCATTCTTCGATGATCAAAATCATGGATTCTGATGTTTCACAATATCAACTGAAAATGTGTTTATAGTTCCTTTCCTATTTGTATAAGTATTTACAGTCATCTTTCTTTTTTTAATTTACAAGGCTTTTGGGATTTTAAATTTGAACTGGCCAAAAGAATACTTTGGACATGTCTTAAATATCTTTAACATTGTGAAATATGTTTTAATTGCTTCTTTTCCCCAACTTGTCCAGAATTACACGGCTAGTTAGTGCCAGAGAAAAACAGAAGCCAGATGTCCTGACT